GTGCCACTTAAAGAGCTAAATCTCATTTCAGCTTTATGTACCCATTACCTTTCCCAATCAAACTTGTAATCATGTAAAAAATATAATCAACTTGACAACCTATTTTCCATACTAATCCATGTAGACTGGCATTAATTATAGTTGCCTACTTTAATTTTTCATTAAGTCCTATATAGCTGTTTCATTAGGTTGTCAATTTAGGTCAAGTTAATAAATCTATAGTTACCCAAGCCACTTACTTTTTTTTGAAATATTGGCATATTAGCTCTCCTCCAGCCCTCTGGAACTTCCCTAGTGATCCAAGACTGAATGTTAATAAACATTAATGACACACAAAGCTCCATCGCCAGCTTTTTTTAAAAACTTGGATGCGATTGATCTGGGACTGCCCACTTTAAAATGCTTAACTTTAGTAGGTGCTATGTAACACCAACCTTGGTTACTGCTACAGTGGAAAGTATTTCATCATCATTCTCTGCTAGGAATACTTCATTTGTTTTTTCCTGACACACACAACATAAATATATTCATTGAACACTTCTACCTTTTCTGTTTTATTTGGTAATAGTCCTACTATAACCATCTAGTAATGGATTCCACTGTACTTAAAAAAAACCCTTCTTCTGTCCTTAACTCTACAGGGTAGCAGATTTTTCCCCTTGAATTTCCTTGTTTCCCTTATCAGTTTTTTGCATTTCCTATTTTCTAATTTACATTCATCATTGGCAACCTCCCCTCTGGCTCTTGTAGAACCGGACAGATATTTCATGAATGTGTTTACTCAAACAACAATTTTCAGTAAGGACCCAAAAGATAGGCTGGAAAAGCAGATTTTTCTGAATGTGTTACAGCAGATACCGTGCAGTTAGCAAATTGTTTTAAATCAAATAATCCTCCAAAAGAACGAACTGATGTTAACCATTCTGCAAATCTGCAATGTAGAATGTACTTCAAAGAGCAATATTGTTGTGGCACAGAAGGGGACTGCATGATGTGTACTTTTAACCTTAATGACTCTATGATATCCAGCATCTTCATGGGTTGATAAGTGTTGCCAAGTAATTCTGGTATGCTGCTCATACTTGAATGGAAAATATTTCAAATGTTACAGACTTAAGCAAGGCAGGCTAAGCAAGGAGATGGAAAGGGTTAAGTAAAATATAATTAGAAAAATAAAGACATTCATATTTAGTATCTGGTCACTACAATAAGTACTGTATATGGCACCTCTCTACTTAACTAAAAACATCTCTTTTATTCATAGGGAATTTTTCCAAATCTGCAATTGTCTATTGGACAGGGGGAAAACAAACAGCCTGAGAGAGGAGAATGGAAAAAAAAAAACAACCCAGCTAGCCCCTCACAACAGCTGTCCCTCACCAATAGTCCCTCACTTGTTGCCCCCTAAACAGATTAGTGGGATCTTGCTCTAGGAAATCAGGATCATTAAGTGTGTGTGTGTGTGTGTGTGTGTACACATGGCAATAGCTGTAAGTATAAAATAATTTAAAAAAACAAACAAAAATACAGTAAAATGCCTTTCACACTAGTTTTCTGGATATCAAAAGCAATTTAATAATGAATGGCCAATTATTGACACTGAATAACAAACTGTTCTGGGCATGTTTTATAAAGATTTGCAAGTCATCTTACATATATTATCATCAGCTGTAATGCAGTCACATTTTATAAACGTTAAGGAAAAATCTCTTAATCCTTGAACACCAAAGAGAACATCCAGTGAGAATGCTGGGTATTGCACAAGGAATATGAAAATGGCTCTTGAGATTGCTCATCAGTGATCTCATTCTCCTCCCACAGTCCACTAAAATGTTGTCAAGCATTACATCTTAAAAATTTGGCAGGGAGCCAAGATCTTGCTCTCAACCTTCTCAGGGTAAAGGAGATCTGTTTGGTTTTTACAAAAAATGGAATTTGGTGTACAGTGGCAACTCAAAATTTAGACTGAAAACAAGGGGGCTATTAAATAAGTATATACAAATACAAGGTTAGCAATAGGACAACATAGCAAGGAGCTAGAAATATGGGCCAAATTCACATGGAAGCTATACGTTCATTGAAGAAAAGTTTGTTTGTTTGTTTGTTTTTGTTTTTTTTTACACTGAGATGACTAGCCTACCACACTACAGCTACCTTGATGTAAAATCCCAGTGGAGACAAGGTAAATGCCACTTTTACCTCAGTGTAGCAAGCTGAGGTGAACTCAGGCAGACAGCGTAGGGCTGACCTTGACTGGCTCCCCCAAGATTAAAACTACCTGTGCATTATCTTTACTGGAATTTTATATCAAAATCATGATGTTTATATTTAAAAAATACATGCATGGTAAGAAAGACACAGCTTGAGAAATAATTTCCATCATTTAAAATTTGTTCTATATTCAGACAGCCAGAACATGTTTCACAAGCTTGGGTTTATATCTAACTTTTGGCAATATGAAGAAAGTATGGTATCATGGTAGCAAATAAGAACTCTATCTGAAAAGGCATAACTGCTTGTAGCACTCTAACTTTTAGTAAAGCTGAGACCTTATAAAAGCAAATGTAATTTTGTGTATGCATGAACACTTTTTTTACTTTCAAATGACATGGGTTCATAGGAAGGTAGGGCTGAAAGGAACCTCATGAGGTCTTCTAGTCCAGTGGGTCTCAAACTTTTTCTTCTTCTTTTTTTTTTTTTTTTTTTTTTTTTGTACCTGGACCCACTTGTAAACATCTATGGCCAGTCCTGACCCACTGCACCCCAGCCCCACAGTGTGTGGGGACAGGTGGGGTTTGTGTGGGGCTGGGGGAGGCTCCAAGCAGCCCCTTGCAGGCTGGAACTCTGAAAGCCTGCAAGGGAAAAGCCACCATTTCACGTGGATTCTCTTTTAAAGGAGAAAAACAATTTAAAAAGTTTGTTGATCTATTTTTAAAGTTTGTTCCCAACCCTTTCATATATTCTTGCAATCCACCTTTGGGTCATGACCCAGGGGTTGAGAAACACTGGTCTATTCCAGCCCTCTGCAAGGCAGAATTATCCTTGACTACACCACTCAGGCCAACCTGCTCTTGGAAAAATTCCCGGGATGAAGATTCCTCAACTTACCTAGGTAACCTGTTACAGTGCTTGACCACCTTCATAGTCAAGAAGCATCTCCTAATATTCAACCTATATTTCCCCAGCTGCAGGTTGAGGCCATTGCTCCTAATCCTGTCCCCTATGGCCACAGAAAAAAGCCCATCTCCACCCTCTCTGTACCCCTCAGGTATCTGAAGACTGTTATCAAATCCCCCATCAGTCTTCTCTTCTCCAGACTAAATAACCCTACCTCTTTCAGCCTTTTCTCATAAGCCATGCTTCCACTGAAGTCTTTCCAATCTTTCTTGAAGTGTGGGGCCCAAAACTGGATGCAGTATACCAGTTTTGGTGAAGCCTCACCAAAGCTAGTGAGACTTCACCAGTGTTGAATAAAGCAACAGAATTACGTTCCTTGATTTAGAAATGACACTCCTGTTAATACAACTTGGTACACTGTTGGCCTGTTTTGCAACAAGAGCACATTGTTGATTCATTCGGTTTATGGTCTCCTGTAACCTCCAACTCCTTCTACGTTCCCCAGTCTATATTTGCACGCAGTGATTTGGTCCAAGTGCAGGACTTAGCACTTGCCTTTGCTGAATTTCATCTGGTTGACTGCAGACCAGTTTTCCAATCTATCTAGGTCATTCTGGAGCCTAGCCTTACTCTCCAGAGTGTTTTGCAACTCAACCCAACTTGGTACCATCTACAAATTTGGCAAGCATGCATGCAATCCCATGATCAACTTCGTTAATGAAGTTATTAAACAGTACCAGAAGCAGAGCAGACCCCTGGGTAACCCCACCTGATGGCTCCTCCCAACCAGACATTGAGTCATTGATGACTACTTGCTGAGCATGATGATCCAACCATTTATGTACCTACCTCACAGTACTTTCAGCTAGTCTGTACTTCCTTTGCTTGTTAGCGAGAATATCATGGGACACTGACAAAAGCCTTGCTAAAGTCAGGGTATATCACATGTGATTTGGGAAACTAAGAGATGCAAAGTGTTGCAAATCAAGGTTTCAGATTAAATACTGGTAATAATATAACTACAAAAATAGGATACCAAACTTGTGACTTCAAGCTAGACAGTTGGAATTTGTTTTTAAAATATTTGCTCTAAGTACAAGCTGATTTTATATATAAACTGCAGAAAGTTCAACTCAAGGTAGAAACAAACTGATAGCAGGTTATTTTAATCCCTAGGGGTTTTATTTAAGAAAAAATATCCATAGGGCTAGGCAAAATTCAGAAGGCTGTAGCAGATCCTGGTCCAGCAGTGGTCTAATTTTTCCAGTGGCAAAATTAAAATGCTATGGAATGCTGAAAATCAATTCTACATTTCAAATGGCAACTCGTTGTGTTTTTTTGCCTCTTATAAGTTAGGTTTCATATTTTAAAGCACGGCTCTAGTCCCAGTGACTAGACTCACAAACAGGACGTTTAAACTAAAGTAGCCTTCCTCCATAACCACAAGCGAAGCATGCAAGTGCCAAAAATCCTTTGCCTGAATAAATACCATTTACTAATAAAAGCTGGCAACCAGAGCCCAAATAGTCTGAGAGGGTTTTGTTGATTTGTTTTTATATTTCATTTCTTGAAAGGGAA